GGAGGCGGAGGAGTTTGCGAACGAACAAGTGTGAAATCAGGTGCATCCATAATGCAAAGGGGTGGTTCGCCCGAAACTCGCCCCCGACACGGCCGACGTGGCGCAGCCCCCGTTCACGGGGTGGAAATCAATTAGACACGGAGCGGAAACGATGCGTTTGTTCCCGTGAACGTGACGAAAGACGAAAAATCGCCACGGAAGATCAACGTTCTAATTGCTTTATGAAAAACTACGATGCAGTTACACGTGTTCAGAATCTTAATAGAATCGGGATAAATGATCGGGAGAAAGATAAATATTGGAAATGCTGGTATAAAAGTATATGGAAAGTAAATCTGTAAATCTCTGGTCTAACGACCAGAAAAAGAAAAAAAAGAAAAAAGAAAAAAGTCGATTGACGAGGAAAATAGGAAGAGGAACGTAACGAGGGTAAAATGCGCGGACAATTTCGTGCTATCAGGAAGGCTCCTCCCGAGAGGAGGTAACAAAATATACTCGATGCAGCTTAGCGCTCGATTCGAGAGGCGCAGAGAAAATCGAACAAAGCGCAAAGTCGTGCTGATAGGTAGGGTGGTAGGGGCGATTCTAACTTGCTAAGAATTAAAGTGAACCGCTCGAGGGTAGGTAAGGGTCGTAGCCTCTAGCGATTATACTAATAGTCGGGGCGTAGACAAGCTGATAGGGAGAATAGGGGCACAGCTAAGCTACTAATTGTTTTACACGGTGGAAACTTCGTTTAGTTAATTCCCGCGCACCTTTAACGCGTTTATCTTCTCGCGAAAAAATCCAGGGAAATTACAATAACATACACCGTTGCCGAGTCCAGGTGAAAGTTCGATGTTTCGTTTTAAGGGATTAAACTTTGAACGATGTAACTTGTAAAGATACTTAAAAAACACGCAGGAATTATTTTATTTTCTCTTTCGTCTTTCTTCTTCTTCTTCTTCTTCTTCTTCGTTTCGTATCGTGGTACGCGATATTCGTGGTGGTGCGCGAAGAGAGGAAAAAAAAAACGTTGTTCCAACGATCGAACCGCAGAGAATGATACACCGACGACGTGGAAGAAAACCGAGAACAGCGGAGAAGCGAACAATGGCCTTCTTCCTGGCAGGTTGATCCTGCTTGAGTAATGTTGAAATCTGGGGCGTTCCTGGGAACGGCCACCTGACCTCAGCGTCCCTTCGCCAGCGTGGTTGCACCCTCTTGGACGAGTCATTCTCGTCCCGTTTCTCTCCCAACCGCCGAGTATCCCAACATCGGATTAATGGCATCGCGATGGCGTTAACGTTCTTGCGAAACACATAATCGAATGTTTGCCCTTTTTAATCCTTCCTTGAAACTCGAGAGGTTCGGTCGATCGTTAAATCCACCGGTTTTCCAACAGCCAAACACCGACAAAACGGATTAAACTCTGGCCGAGGGGCGATCAATTAAACGGGATATCTCGGAGCAAAACGATAAGATCCTCGGACTTAGAGCATTTTCGTTCAAATACGTTTCGTATTAAATTGTTTATCGCGTCACGAAATCGTTTCTTCCCCCGTCCAATTTATTATTGTTCGAGGAGAATACACCGCCGGCCGGCCGCCTCCATATCTTGGATGGAAGTCAAAAAATATTGGAATTTCGACACGATGGTGAAAACGTTTCCCCGGGACCCGGGTGGAAGCTGTTCGGGGATGGGCACGCGGTCGGGTAATGGAAGATGTGATAATTTAGTATGCACAGTGGAGTTTATTTGAATTTTATTGGCGGGCTCGCTGTCACGTGGGTCAACGCGTAGGAGTGGTGGTCGTGCCACAAGGGGGTCCCTCTTTCGCTTTATCGGATCGGGGGAGAGACGACGCTCCTCCCGTTTTCTCGTTTCCCCGAGGGGACACTTCCGTCCGACCAATATCGCTCCTCTCTCTCGTCTCCTCTCGCTTCTTCCCCCATGCTTTTTCCACCATCCACCCTCTCTTTTTCTATCTTTTACCCTCTCCTGAGCCGCTTCCAATATCTTTCTAAGTTCTCCGAGCCGGCCATGAATAAACTATTCCCCGACTTTGAATATCTCAACGTTTTTCGCGGGAATGGGACCGCCATCGAGGGACCGACCGCAGAAACGACGAGAGAGGATGATATCGATTGATCGACGTGTTACGTGGAAGGGGCTAACCGCCGTGCCCCGATGATGCTACCATCCTTCAATTTTTTTGGGAAACGTTGTGACAGAAGGCGAAGAAGAATGGCCGAACGTTTCGTCTCGAACGAGATGTTTCCCGATATATAAGAATAAAACGAGAATGTCTGTTTTCCCTCGAATGTCTTCGTTAAAAAAAAAAAAAAAAAAAGAAAGAAAGAGAAAAATAATCGTTCCTCGTGAAAATTGATCGAAATCTGCGAGTTGATCTTTATTCACCCCGATCACGAGGGACAATTAATTTTTCGTAACGGTGACGGTGATGAAATCAACCAGTCAGCATAATGAGCAGCGTTGTCTCCCGCGCAATTCATCGGATGTCGTGAAACGAGAGGTGAGACGAGGAGGAGGAGAAGGAGGAGGAGGAGGAGGAGGAGGAGGTGGAGAGGGTGGAACGAAGGAGGGGGTGGCGAAGGATGGCGCGGGGTTATTAATATTCAGAACGAGGAACAGGAGTCGAGAGCGGTGCCGAGTGACAAATACCTCGCACTCGTCCCAACCCCGGAACGGCTCAACTCTGTAATTAACGCTAATCTCCCGGCCGTTCCTCCGACACCGTACCACCCACTTCGTCTTCTCTCCCGCCTCTGTACTTACCGAGAGCCAGAGGGTGGCCTTAAACAGGCTCTCGAGTCGATTCTTCGAGTTCGAGAGTGTCTATGATTCCTTTTGGCGACCGGTGAAAAAGAAACTCTTGCACCTGAAAATTAAACGGCACATTTATGACGAACGATTTTAATTATATATTTTACGCGGTGTCCTTCTTGATCTTTTATTTAAGTTTCCGTTTAAAGAAAAACGGATGTTTCGTATTACCGTTTCATGGCACCTTCTCTCGTTTTTTGCACCTTTATGCGGGAAGAATTATTTTGTTGGCCCTTTTATCTTCATAACTGAATAAAGACAGTGTGGGGATGAAAAACATATCCACCAGCAGCGGCCTGCATATTTTTGCAAATATTACGATGGCACTGTTCGTTCGTCCTACGCTTTGTGTACATTTGAATTTACAAAACCGGAAGCTGAATTACTACCATTCGCCTATAGAAAGGTGAATTATCATTGCATCAGGGATGATGCAACATCTCTGAAATATTTTAATTTTCCGGCGTTGTGTCGTTGTAAAATAATCAAATATATTCTCGCTGTATAAATAATATTCCACAAATAATACGATAATCTTCTTATCGAAACGCGAAAATATTAATCCTCTCCCGTAAATAACATTCTTAAACTTTGATAAAATCTCCAAAGTAAATGTATCTTTTACATCGAGTATGTATTAATTGTTGCTATAACAAAATATTATATTGGAGACGTATACCGTGAAAAGTAAAAGAAAATGCACGTCGAATTACGAAAGACAGATAGGAGCGTCCCTGAGAGGTCAAAGGACGAAGATTCCTTCATCCACTTCCTGCGACACGGTGGTTGCGCGGCTCGGTTAGCACTTGGTAGACTAAAATAGCGAGTCAGCCGACCGCGAATATCCTTGATTAAACGCAAAAAAGCTCCGAGACCTAAAGCTCGCCTTGCGCTCTGGCGTGGCTGCGTTTTTTCGCCACCCTCCGCCATCACGATGGTCGGGTTTGAGCGTGGAATTGGATTGGCCGTCTTTCCTCTCTTCTCGTTCTCTTTCCCCTTCATTCCCTCTTTTGGCGAGAGAAAGAAACGTTGGCAGTTTCAAAGCTTCTGGGGACTCGATTAATGCCAGAGTGTGCGACATCAGAAATACGTAAGCATGATTCATTTCCAGGTATTTCTTCCGGTTAAATTGTTGCGCAACGATCTAATTTCTTAAGACAAAGGGGATATCTATTCCATTGTCATTCGAATACTTCAACAATATCTTGCGACTACGAATATATATGAATTTTCATGATAATTGAGTTGCCAATAAAAATCTATGTATTCTGAATTTTTTTTGCTTTTTTTATTTGTTCACTTTGGGAATTATATAAGATTAAGTTCTCTTAAAAGATCTTGAAAGAATGACTAGCATGCATTTAAAAAATTTCGAATAGAAAGATGTGTATTTCTTAAAATTGTAGTAATTTTCAGTTCTTCGATGGTGATAAAAGTTTATTTACATTATGGAACCATGAAATGATAATCGAGAATGACGTTGGTCGAAACAATGAAGCAGGCATCCATCCTCTTAGACATGAGTTTCGTATGCCAACTAGGGGTGATGTCAGGACACGGTGATATATGGTTGAAGCACGGGAAATGCCACGTGCCCGGCAACCTTCCATACAGCTGCAAAAGGATTAGGAACCTAATGCACACTGTACTAGATTATTTCAGAATGCAATTGAATTTCTTTCCCAATCATTAACTTCGGTCTATCGATCAGTATTGATCATCGATTGTTATATTTCCATAATTAATCGATAATAGACTTCAAATAATAATTATTCCAATTACTTTTGAGCGAAAACGTTATTAAATATTATAATTTTCTTAAAGATATTTGTAATATTGATAGAAAAATGGTATAAAAATTGATTCTAATCTTTGATATAATTATTAAATGTAGAAATTCATCGCCGATAAATGAAATTTCTCCTTTTCCAACAGAATACAACTATAGACCATTCCTTTCTTGCAAGAGATGTCATCAAAATCATGCTTAAGCCGCCATCTCAATAAAACTACAACAATGATAAGGGTTGCGTCGGTCCAATCAAAACGTGCATCAACTATTTGCGGCCCACTTGAAACTTTATCGTTCCAATGGAAAGTAGATTTAAATAGAACATGATATGATGCTCTTGATGAAGGTATCAGTCACTTATCATCGATGGCTACCGCGAATTATACGGTTCTTAATTTTATTCTTTTGCTTTTAAGTATATTTAACAACGATGTCGAAAGTTATCATGCCGTGGTCGTTATTCACGGCGTTCTCACTGGAAGCGACAGTATGGAACTTATTAGTAATAGAATTCAAGAAGTAAGTAATTCAAATGTAAAACAAAGAGTATTGCAGATGTCGCACCTATGTAAGTTTGGCGGGTAAACAACGATTTTTAATAAATATTTTAGCATTTTAAAATAATTATTGTCCATAAATTAATCGATTTTAGATGCATCCAGGGACACAGATTTATAATACTCCAAGATATGCTGGATGGAGTAGCTTGGAATCAATGTGGCGCCAAGTGGAAGAAATAGGCATGGATGTTATATCTATTGGTGCTGCATTTCCCGAAGGAATAAATTTAGTTGGTTATAGTCAAGGTGGTTTATTAGCCAGAGCAATACTACAAACATTTCCTGAACACAATGTCAGAAATTTTATTTCCTTGAGCTCGCCACAAGCGGGACAATATGGAAGTAGGTGATCGTAGTGCCATCTTTAAAAGGAAACAAAGGAATTGTTATTTTTCAAATTGTTATTCTGTATTTCATTCCAGCTCGATTTCTTCATTTATTTTTCCCCGACTTGGTGTGTGAAACTGCCTATCAATTATTTTATTCAAAAATTGGACAACATACCAGTATTGGGAATTATTGGAATGATCCTCATCATCAAGTGAGTATACGATTTATTAATTATTTCTCAACTTATAGCTGTGTTTTTCTTTTATAGAAATTATACTATAAATATAGTAATTTTCTACCATATGTGAATAATGAAAAAAATTCTACAAAAATGTCAGCATTTAAAGAGGGTCTCACCAAATTAAAACGTATGATACTTGTTGGTGGACCTGAGGATGGTGTTATTACTCCATGGCAAAGCAGTCATTTCGGATATTACGATGTTAACGAAACTGTGATAAATATGCGTGATCGAAGTATTTACAAAGATGATTTAATTGGACTAAAAACATTAGATGAAAGTGGAAGATTAGTTCTCATCACAGTGCCAAATGTTCCTCACTATGAATGGCATAAAAATATATCCATAGTAGATGATTTTTTACTGCCATATTTAGATTAATGTAATACTCTTATTCTAGATTAGATAATTGTTGCCATACAAGATAAAGAAAACTCCAAAGATCTCTTGAATCATGATATTTGATATAACAAATTTTATACATATCACATGAATTCTATACACTTTATTAATTTTCACGAAAATTAAATGTATAATAGATATATTTTTTATTTTTTAACAAAAAAATTTTTAATATTTTACAAATACAAGTAGAAAAAAAATTATCTAATGTATATATTTTTTTTTAATTATTAAATATTTCTTTTTATAAAATAAAATATTTTTATTCAATATACATAATTTATTAAACAATCATAATTTTAAATTTAAATCTTACATTTTTGTAATAAATATAAGTACTATAAGTAATTAGGCAACATGATTGAGTAAATTTTATTAGTAAACTACTTAAAAACTCTTATTATGTGTAAAACGTGTAATGAGATCAAGAGCCCATTTTGGCTGATCAAGAGGAACCATATGTCCAGCATTTCTTACCAAAACTTCAGTCAAGTTATCAATAGTCCTTGAATATCCAGCTAATTCGTTTCCAACAAACCATAGTTTTCTTTGTGCTGTTTTATATTTTTCTGCACCAGGCCATTTTAATTTTTGCAAATAATTTTCTGTTAAAGGATATGCAACAATAATATCAAGTTGTCCATTGTATATGAGAACTTTATAATATTGAATAAGATCTGCTACAATAAATGCTAAAGATTGCATAACGTCAGCTTTCATATATGTTTCTACTTTTTTAGATTCAGGAATAAATGTGCGATTGCCAACATGTATAGCTTTTCTGACATCTGCTCTTTGAAGCCACTCTAACATGTAATCAGATTCGTTACTTGGATCTTTTTCATACAAATAATTAAAATAATAATCAAAACCAGTTAAATTTTTAAAGAGTGAAGGTTGCTGTGTTATATCTCCATCAAGAAGTTCATCAAACAAATTAAAAGCTTCCAGCCATTTTTCTTGCTTGATTAAATTTTTACCCTGTTCCTCATATTTTTGAAATAGATCTCTGCCATTCGCATCAAGCAGACCCAATTGATACAAATAATCTCCATAGTCCAGTTGATTCACTGGATCGGTAAATCCATTTCCAATTGCCAAACCCTTTAAATTTATCTTTATCTTTGCTTTGATATTATAATCTTTAATAGCATGAGATACTGCTGGTACATATTTTCCACCATATGATTCACCAGTGACATAAAAGTCATTGGTTCGAAGTTCTGGGAATAATTCAAAAAATTGAACTAATGCAGTATGTACATCTCTTCCCACATCTGTTTCATTGGTAGCATAGCCTTTCTCATCTTCAGTAAAACTGAATCCAGTACCAACTGGATTATCGATATATAATAAATTATGACATTTATTCCAAGAATATTCACGTATTTTAACAGTTTTATTTTTAGTAATTATAAATGGACCATTTTCTAAGAATAAACCATACATGGATGTAGCTCCAGGACCACCTTGTAGCCATAATACTACAGGAGCAGTTTTTGGATCATGCTACGCAAAAATATTTCTATCTCACTACAGACATTTTTTTTTTTTTACATACAATTTCTTATATATTTTTTATTTATTTCTCATAATCAAAATTTCATTCAATATGTTTTTTAATTCATTCTATATTTCTCTTATTAATAAAAATAAAAATATGAAATTACTTACTTACCAAAGCTGGGAAAAACCAAAAGAACATATTCGAATTATACTTTTTATTAACAGTTAAGAAACCAGCATAACTACTGACAGTGTCCATTTCTTTGTGTTGTATAACAGCTTTATTACGGGCTTCATCTATTTTACCATTTTCTATAAGTGGTGTTAAAAAAAGAGGTGTACCAGCATCTTCTTCATGAAGAAGAGGATAATATTTAGGTTTAGGATAAACGTTTGTAAATCCTCTTGCAAATGAAATAAAAAATAAAAATTGTAGAAGTACGAGTTTCTTCATTGTGTTTTTAATCATAAAACACAATTACAGTAAAAATGGCTTCTCAGAAAACAACTTCCGTTATCACACGCGATCAGAACACAAGTACTTTGATTGAACGCAAAATAAATGTTTTTATACCGCCACCGGCTCGCCATTGTTGCCAACATGCTAAATTACCTGCAAGCATATCAAGTGTTTATTAGTACATATACAATATAAAATTAAAATTAAAAAGAAAAGTGTAAATTTTATATTTTTATATAATTTTTAATCGAAATTAAAACAAAATAAAAAGCAATGATATTAATATTAATAATAATTTTATAATACGAAATGCCAATTAGATTTTTATAGATGGCGTTTAGAAATAATAATGTATCAGCTGACTATATCAATACAAAATAAATTAGGTTTGAATTATATATACGTTGTGTTCCGTAATTTGATTGAAGGTTAACGTAGAATTGTTCCTATTTTTAAACTAAAGTATATTATAAACAATGCTATTGTATGCAAAGTTATATACTTCTTTCGATTAAAGGTTGAAAAATAATTAAAACTTTGACTTTTTGTTATAAATTCAAATATAAAAGTTAATAATATTATTTTTTGATGATACTGTGACCCAAATCTGAAAAGAAACAATTGTTATATTAAAGAATCTAAAGAATTCATTTATAAAACTAACAATAATAATAACACTATTATCTTTGCTATTACTTTAACAGAAATTATTTTATTTTATTTTATTTGTTGTTGAAATAAAAGAAATTAAAGAAATATGAATGATTCTTTCCTAGAAGACTTGGAATTAGTATCTACTGATGTTAAAACTGTAAATGCTTATTCAGTAGATCGTCACATAACAACAAGGAATGCAACATCTTCTCCTTTGCAACAATTGCGGCCAAATAGGGGAGAGAATGTGCAATCTGAAAAACAACCTAAGAAAGAATTGAATACAAGAGATGTAAAAAAATTGTCTGAACATGATACAAAAAAACAACAAATAAGAATAAAAACATCTGAAAGAAAAGATAAACTCGTTGAATCAAAATTGAAACCAATTGAGAATAAGGTGAAAAGTGATGGAAAAGAACAAGATGTTCAAGATGAGAGTAAAACAAAGAATAAAGAATCAAGAATAAGAATTTCTGAAAGCAAGATAATAGTGAAAGATAAAGTACGCCGTTCTGGAAGTAGTAAGGAAAATGTCCAAACCTCAGATGTATTTGCCAAGGAAAATAATAGGCCTCCAGATTACTCAAAAGAAGGAACTTCCCAAGTGGAAGAAAAAACTAAGGAAAAAACAAAAACTCATGATATTAGAAAAGTAGAATCTAGAGAAATTGATCCTGTTGCACTTCTTAATGCCATTAAGGATATTGTGAGTATATGCACAAAACAGGAAAGCACAAAAATTTTAAAAGCAATGCAAGAATTGCATATTAACTCTCAAGCAAATCTGATTAAACATTTGTTGTGTCAAACAGATGACATAATTAATGAAATGCATCCTAGTAAAGAATCAAATAGAGTGAAAAGTTTAATTGCACAAAATGAAAGATTACAAGAGGATATTGTTATGTTACAAAAAAGAAATGAAGAACTTAACAAGAAGATGGAAGAGTTTGAATTCTTAAAACAGGAGAATATTGCATTGAAATTGAAATGTAAGGAATTGTCTAAACAATAGCAAAAATGTACACTTTTCTGATTCTGTGTATTCAGAATTTGTCCATGAAAAGTACCATTCCACTGTTGTTGTTATTCTGTAATTATCAAATATCATTAATATATTATTAATTATCAATTATTAATACTATATGAAATGAACAGATTTGCAAAATTCTCGAAATAAAAAAAAAATAATACTAATATATACATAATTAAAAAAATATACAGAATTTTAAAAAAGAGATCTTCCGTAAATTTTTCGATATAATGAACAATCGATACATCGATATCGAATTTATTGTGACTTTTATATTCCCTTATGATTTGATTTTTTTATTGTATTTTTTTAGTTCCATTACATATAAAACCAATATAAAACTCATAACAAATCAAAACAGTGGATTTTCCATTTACATTTTCTTCGTAGAATCACTTTTATTTTCCTTGTAGATCGCTTACATTTTCCTCATAGAATCACTCATATTTTCTATTTTTAGAAAAAAACATTCGCTTGATTTTTTGACATTCTTTATGTAAAATAAAATATTGCATAAAGATAGTCATGCTATCGATAATTTATCTACTTGTTTTGGAAAATACGTGTTTTGCACAATATTGCTTACTCAATAACTTTCCGTATAATATTAATAGTTATTTATCGGAATGTAAAATTTTGCACATCTTTTAGTTATATGATATTTTTCTTATTATTACATATCTTGAATAAAAAGTGATAATATGCGTGCTGATATTAACGAGATGATATATTTTTTAACATTTTTACTAATATTTTTTTAAAAAGATTTAAGAAAATAAAATTATGTTATGCGGTTTAGATGTATAAGCTGCATTTAATATGTTATTCCTTGTTATATTATAACATATTCTGTGCTGATTTGTAGTTGATATCTTTATTGAACTGAAAAAAAAAAATAAATTGTAAATCTTCCTTTGTAAAGAAATATTCAATAAAATATTTTACAATGACATCTCTATACATATATTTTTTACAGTAGAAATTTAATAAATAAATTATGCCACATTCGTTTGAAACAATTTATATATATTCGAAGATATTTTTAAAAGGCATATTAAGGCGACATGATACAATGTTTTGCGACAAAGATGCACATCGTATAATGCATATTTACAAATAATGTTAATTCTTATGATGTCAAGATTTTCTTCGAATATTTTTAAATATATAAAATATGCTTGAGGTTTGGCAAAATGGCCAGATAATTATTTATGAGAGCTAGATGAATTGACGATTAGAAAAACGTATAAAAGAGAACGAAAGATCTTGCTATCGGCAGTATCGGGAATTCTAACTTTTTAATAGTAAAGAGTTTAACTTCTTACCTATGAAGATGTAATTTAAATGCTAGAAATACAGTTCGGTTTAGGCATGAATTGTAGTAAATTAGAGATAAAAACAAAGCACTATCCTGCACGTGCTGTAACAAACTTATTCATTAGATGCTTAATTTTATTAAAGCATTTCTTTCAAATTGAATTACTGATGTCTCGTAATCACAATTTTTCACATCTTAAAATATGAATACGATAAAGCGATAAATATTATTAATATTAAATTCCTTATCCTATAAATATTAAAATAAAAATTAGTAAAACCTGTGTTTCGCTTAAAAGTACGATTAGAAAGAAATAAATAATTCTATCGTATAATGTATCCTCGAACTTTTCTCAAATTTTCAAATCTTCCGCTTCTTTTAATTATATCATTTCCTCTCTGCATTACTTGCGTATATACATCTTTATAATATACATATTCGAAGATAGGAACGATCTTCGTTAATCAATTCTTTAACAATAAACACGGTTATAATAAATTCCTGAGTTTTTCGAATTTTTCGAACCATTCTTCGCGTCACTTTCGCAATAAGTGCGCGAACTATTGTCTTATCCGAAACTATCCGAAATTACTGATAATGAATTCACTTCGCGATAAGTGATAAAATATTCAAAATCTTTGACTCAACAAAAGTTCTTGGCCAAAGAACAGGCCAAATATTGTTTCGTTCGTAACGTTTATATCCTTATAAACGTTCGACAATTTATTGCCGAGATACTTCGCGAGATATCGCAGCATCCTCATCCGCGTCATCTTGATCTTCGTTATCAGTTCTCTCCCCTTCCTCGGGAGGCCTTGTCCACCTGAACAAAAATTTGCTTTCGTGATATCCTGAAAATTCGATAACGCATTTTTTTTTTTAATATAACTGATGATTTGATTTAACAGCAACCTGATCATCGTCTCTGGTGATCTATAAAGGAATATTAATTTGGCAAACAAATCTTCCTCGAGGCTCAACTCTCCACTTTCACGGACCAAATAAATATCCAAGCATAGTCGAAGTATCCTATCGACGTAGGGCAGATCATCGAACATAATTCTTGGCGCCATATCAGTCACCGCCCTTCTGGTCATTTGGCTTATGACTATTACGGCTGTAGTGTACAAACCTAAGATTCTACAGAAACGTACAAGAATCAAATAAGTTGTGAATTAATTAACTAATCACAATAGACAATTCGAGATAAACGTACCCTAATCCGCTGATAAAACTCAATCCTTCGGGGAACGTTTTATCATTGAATAAATACATCATGATGTATTTGCAATCATTTAGAGGCACTCTGTTTAATAAATTTTCGTATAAAGTATCGTTGCAGACCTCATTAACAAGCCACCATTTTTTATGCGAGCAACAATCCGGTTCCGAAGATAAAAAAAGACTAATGTTTCTATACAGATGAATATCTTTTATTATCTTATCGTCTATTTCCATCCATTTCGCTGAAAATTAATTTCGTATGCAATATGAAACAACCGTTTTACGATTTATCTTCGTTTCATTCTTCGTTATATGGATCGTCATCAAACTTACGCATCATCAATTGTGGAACGATGGTGGTGGTTCGACCGGTTACTTTCAGAAATTTTGGGAAAGCATATGGCAATATGATAGTGCTAGTATGGGGGATCGTTAAGTTGGAAAGTATATTGGCTAACGTTTCTCTCACGGGATTAAATTCCTTGTTTTCATACGGTTTCAATTTTATGTCTCGAACTGTCGTGGTTATCCCAGTCGAATCTTTCGCGTCCGTTTTCCGAGACACCGTCCACTCCACGTGAATAATCACGGTTGTTTCATTATCTCTTAATTCCTCTATCAGTCTGAATCAGAATAATATTACGTGACAAAAATCAATCATATCTCGTTAGAAGAAAAATATAAGGAACAAAGTGTTTAACAACTTGTTTTAAATTCATCCTTAACTCGAAGAGAATAAAAATAATTTTTATCATCTTACATTTCCAAGTCTGGGGGAGATATAGTCCATAATTTTCTAGAGAATCCGCTCAATCTCACAGCAGCAACATCAGAATGTATATAGTTCTCGAGAAAAGTAATCGCAGCTTTGTCTTTCGCGTACAAATTGACAAATCTCGTGTAATCGAATTTGCTGTATTCTATGATGGATTGACCTTGCGCCGACATGGAGTAAATGGGCTCGTGAGAGCCGATTCTTATTTTCATGGAAACCTCGTATGGTAGATTGGAAATGCCAACGGTGCCACCGAGGGCAAACAAGAGCAAAGGGAACCATATTAATCCGATCATGAAAAAGAGAGCAGCACCACCCATTAAGTATTTGCTTATCTGACTCTTCTTCTCGCCTCGTGGTTGAGGGAAATCTGTTTCTACCCCTCGCATACACTGTAATTCGAATTTTTGAATTTTTTTTTTTTTTTTTTTTTTTTTTTAGTAATTTATACGTAATTTATATATTTTTATTGCACGACATTACTTTGATTTGATAAATGTTGGCGAAGATATCTTCCATTTTGAACCAATCCATTATTGTCATGGAAGTATCCGTCCAGATCCAATCCATTACTGCTCTCAATTCGAACAAGAATGGGACCAACATGAATCTGTGAAGAAATTATGAATAGATTATTCGTTCGAAACGAATTCTAGGAAACTGCTTTTGAACGAAGGAAAATATTCTGACCCTTTGAATAAAACGTAGTTGATAATACTGTAATTCTTGCACAGGAAATTACCAAGTATTCTGGTTGGATAACCTTGCCTTAATTGATAGGCTGCCAATAAGAGATAGAAACACTTGACCATGTACCAAATTTGAGGCGGTAGCCTCTCGTTGAATCGTCTACGATTATTTTTAATTAAATATTCGAAATGGAATTTTTATACGATAAAAAGAGCCACACGATACCTTTCAGTTACACTTGGCAAAATGAAGAACATCCAAATGTGAATGCCAAGTATTAGGAAGTAATGGAAAATTAATTTGCCCAAGATCGATTTCTTTAAAAACAAAGCTCTATCGATAATTATCAATGAGAATTGTAATAGCAGCATCAATAGAAACGGCATCGGGACTCTATTTTCTTGTAAATAAGCTGCGACGCCACCATCACCTTGTTGCGTCTAAAAAAAAAAAAGTTAATAAATATCGCGATTAAAGAGGAATAATTGTAATCAAAATTTGAGAAAAAGTATTTGGAAAAATTATTCACTGCAAATGCGGAAAATCCAAAAATGAACAGCAAAAAATTAAAAAAGTCGCAGAGGAACATGTACGCGTATACGTTCGTCTTTTCTTTTCCATATGGGCTAATAATTTTATGGAAAAAATGTTTTATTGGTTCCGTATATTTGACGATCCTGAAAATAAATCATATTATTTAAATAAATATTAAACGTAAAACTTTTATTAAGTGAAAAACTATCTATTTACATCATTTTCATAACTTTGTTAAACTCTTCCTCCATAGGACTGGTTTCCTCCCCTTGAACCGCGACGAGTTGCTCGTACTCATCACTGGTTGGCACACTTTCACCGACAATCACAGCTGGTTGAAGGTTTAGAATTCTTCCTTTAGGCGTCGTCGCGCGAATATTATCTCTTTAAAATGAAAAAAGTTATTAAATAAAAATTAATAAAAAAAATTTCATAAAATACATTTAAAAAATTAATGTACTTCGCCTCAGGTCGTAATGTTACAGGCTCTCCTTGGCCTCTTTCGGATGGTGGTGGTTTAGACGGAACTAAAGTTAAAGCCGAAGGAATAATTTTTCTTGGTTTCAAAGACAAAGATGTCCATTGTCCCAATGACTTGAGCATAAATCTAAAAATTATATTTTTGTTCGACT